CTTTATTCACCAGAATCCCAAACTGGAAATAACCCAAATATCTATCAACAGATGAATGGATAAACAAAACATGGTAATCCATCCAATGGATAAAAAGGAATAAAAGGGAATGAACTATGGATATATACACGTACAACATGATGAGTCAAAGAAGCTAGAAACAAAAAGATAGATACTGTGTGATACCATTTATATAAAATTCTAGAAAATGCGAAGTAATGTATAGTAACAGAAAGCAGATTAGAAGTTGCCTGAAGCTGGATGAAGGGAGGATTAGACTGCAAAGTGATGCAAAGAATCTTTTGGGAGTGATCGAAATAATCTGTGTCTTAATTGTGGTGGCAGTTTTACTGGTATATAAGTTGTCAAAACTCCTGAAACGTACACTTTAAATGGATGAAGTTTATTGTGCGTGAATTGTACCTCAATAGACTTGATTTAAAAAAAAAAAAAAAAAAAACTACAGAAACCCTGGTGACGTAGTGGTTAAGTGCTGCAGCTGCTAACCAAAAGGTCGGCAGTTTGAATTCACCAGCCGCTCCTTGGAAACTCTATGGGGCAGTTCTGCTCTGTCCTTTAGGGTTGCTATGAGTTGGAATTGATTCAATGACAACAGATTTGGTTTTTGGTTTTTTTCCATAGGGAGGGGCTTTCCATTGCCTTTGGGATGCAAGTCACATTTCTCAGCAGCTTGGTCCCAGTTTGCCTGTCCAGTCTCTTAGGGTTCCATGGCTTGATGCGTCCTTTCAGCCCCAGCTGTGCCACGCTGTTGGCCTTTCCTTAACATACCAAGCACTTAATTTTGTTGCCTCGTATTATCCTCTTCACTCTGCTGGATTGTGCCCCACCCATCTCTCGTTCTTTCTCAGCAGAGAAAATCAAGTATGTCCTCGAAGATTAGGGCCCCAAGTCACCTCCTCTGTGGAACGTTCTCCAACTTTTTGCTTTCCTGTCACTTTCCTTATTGCTTAGGTTTAATGCCTGAACTTCCCAAGGGTAGGGATAATATTATTTAGGAAACTCATACATAGGATGGACATGGAGAACATTTTTGGTAGCCTGTTTTAATGCTAAGTATAAAAATTAAAGAACGATGACATGGCAGTCAGTGGTGTCATTGGGAGAGGTTGGTTATGTGGCTGCTTTACTTTGGTAATGTTACCTTGGTGGGTGCTGTGTTGTAGCTCTCCATGCCGACGACCTCAGTCTGACTGTGTACCAAGAAGTTATCAGTCTCTCCAGCAGAGACTAATACAAACCAAACTCATTTAGACTAATGTATAAATTAGAACACCAATTCATTAATTTATAAAGTAGACCACTTGCATTAACCAGATAAAAATGCTTATTTTGATGGATTTGCGTAATCTTTCAGGGTTGGGAAATAAGGCGACCAAAACTCTAGTGTGAAGGTTGCTTGATGGGCGTAGAATTAGAGCCCGGGGAGGTGGTTAGATAGTCACTGTATTTTGCAGCACACCCGTTTTTATTTTGACTGTGGCACAGTGTGATTTGTTTGCTTCTGTCTTTATGCTACTCAGTGTGATATCTTCAGTAGCTATTCTTTGTTTCTCAGTGACCATTGCTGTAATTTTGCCACTGTTGTTAATTTACTGACTTTTTTCCCCCCAAAATGATATAGGTCAGAGTCTGGACTTCACTTCATCTTTTCTAAAGAGTGTGATAGATCTTTATATTTTAAAGATCTATTTTTCTTTCTTCCAATGACTATTTATGTTCAGAATGATTAAGCATTCAACAGAAGTCTTACTTATCCTTAAATTACTCAGGACTCGCTATGTTGGAGGAGTTTGTGGTAACTAGAGTGTAGAGTTGAGTGCCAAGGGTTAGTAGGCTACTGTTGAGAAGTGATAATGGACAAGAGGTTATGGCTCAGGAGTGAAGGGCTTTGTCAAGTGAAAGAATTAGGCCTTTATCCAGGAGGAGGAGGAGTAAGGAGTAGTAATAGTAACGTAGTGGTAATAATAAGAGTATGATAATGAAAGAAGAAAATATTTATTGAGTTCTTACAAAGTCCTGGACACTGTTATTTACTTGGGTTATTTTACTCAACCCTCGCTATAACCCTAAAATAAGAGTGATTATTATTTCCACCTTACAGATGGGGAAGCGGACACAAAATCACAGACGCAGTAGGTGGTAGGGCTGGATTTCCAAGGGGTAGTTGTAGTCCGTGTTGAGCACATAAAGCTAATGATCAATGTATAGGCCTAGTGCTGAAGAACACTCAGAATGCTACTAGGTATATGATTCTAGAGCTGATGCTTTAGGTGTTATCAAGTAGAAAACAAAGACATGGAAGGAAAGAGAATTTCAGAGAATGCTCGTAGACTAAGAAGAATTAAATAGTAATTATCCCAGTGTTGTGGTGAGCATTAAATGAGAATCATAGCACATTAGCACATATTAAATGGATAATAAATGTGAATTATTATTTTAACAGTGATTAGACTTAGCTTAGGATGAAAAACATCAGTTGCTCTTGTCTTTGTTTTCATGATTTATAGAGAAATATGCACATACACATACACACAGTACTTCATATTTTCTCATGTCAGAGCTTCAGATAAGCACTTATATGGAAAAGGAATATAAAATTTTGATCATTTGACAAGTGTGTTCACTGTTCTGTGGTCTATTCCCTATTTGCATTTAATGAGTAACACTATGCCTTGACTTTTTCTAATGAGTACAGTGACTTTTATGAAAAGAAAATGAGTAGGAAGGTTAGAAAAAGGTTATAAGCAAATGTTCTCATGAAGTTGCTGAAAGAGGAAAGTAAAGGAAATAGCTCCTTTCCTGGAACCTTATCTGATAGAAAGAATCATTTTATTTTTGGGAAGTTTGATCAGATATTTCTCCATTTTGGAGGGAAAGTTTTAAATTGACTTTATCTCTAAAGACTTGAGTGATTCTTCTTGTACATTTTTGCTTATATATTATGGCATCCTTTTAGGACACATGGGGTTATTTCGGTATTTCTTGAGGTATTACTTTTATTTTATGTGAAACACTATTGTTTTCCTTTGTGGGTTTGATGAAAGTGATGAAAGATTTCCAAGTTTGGAAAAACCAATGTATTAATAATGAAGTTATTTCTCTGAAGCAGTTTCTTCTGTACCTCCGTATGTTAGGATAGATTTTCTTTTATTCCTATTTGAAGAATTTCTATTCAGTTCATTATTAGTAATGCCCCCCCAGTCACTTTCTTCATACTGTTTTCTAGATAATAGTCACCTCGTTTATACCTGTGTTGTGTGTTACCCTGTCATAAGTGTATTATCTTACACTTCTTTACATTAAATCCCATCTTAGACCTGTGCTTCCAAATCCCCAAGTTGTACATATCCATTCATGTACTTGATTGATCTTCTTCTTTTTTAATCCATCCTAGCTTTGTATCATCTGCAAACTTGATCAAACCTGAATTTACATTCTCCACCAGGTCATTAGTAGGTATGCTGCATCGAAAAGTCCTCGTCCCTATGGGACTCTGCTTCTTATACTGCTGGATGTTCTTAGTTGAAACTCGGTTGATAATAATTTATTCCTTCTTTCCTGTTGTAGAAGTCTATATCCACTGTGCTGTATTGTTTTCCAGGCAATGCTTCTACTATCTCTTTTTCATCTTTTACTAAGTTTCAGATAAAAACCATCATATCTACTTATGCCACTGTTAAATTAAAAAGAAAAAAGTTATTCGTAGTTATTGTTGCCGTCAGGTTGGTTCTGACTCATAGAGACCCTACTTACAACGGGAGGTCCTGCGCCATCCTCACAGTCATTGCTGTGTTTGAGCCCATTGTTGCAGCCACTGATTTAATCCATCTCATTGAAGGTCGTCCTCTTTTTCGCTCACCCTCAACTTTGCCAAGCATGATGTCCTTCTCCAGGGATTGGTCTCTTCTGATAACATGTCCAAAATATGTGACATGAAGTCTCGCCATCCTCACTTCTAAGGAGTATTCTGACTGTACTTCTTCCAAAGCAGATTTGTTCCTTCTTCTGGAAGTCCATGGTATATCCGTTATTCTCTGCCAACACCATAATTCAAAGGCATCAATTCTTCTTCAGTCTTCCTTATTCCTTGTCCGGTTTTCACATTCATATGAGGTGATTGAAAATACCATGACTTTGGTCAAGTGCACCTTAGTCCTCAAAGTAACATCTTTGCTTTTTAATACTTTAAAAAGGTCTTTTGCAGTAGATTTGCCCAATGCAATATGTCATTTGATTTCTTGACTACTGCTTCCATGGGTGTTGATTATGGATCCAAGTAAAATGATATCCTTGACAACTTCAGTCTTTTCTCCATTTATCATGATGTTGCTTATTAGTCAAGTTGTGAGGACTTTTGTTTTCTTTATGTTGAGGTGTAATCTATGCTGAAGGCTATAGTCTTTGATCTTCATCAAAAAGTGCTTCAAGTCCTCCTCACCTTCAGCAAGCAAGGTTGTGTCATCTGCATATCACAGGCTGTTGGTGAGTCTTCCTCCAGTCCTTATGCCGCGTTCTTCATATAATCCACCTTCTTGGAATATTTGTTCAGCATACAGATTGAATAAGTGTGGTGAAAGGATACAACCTTGATGCATACGTTTTCTGATTTTAAACAGTGCACTATCCCCTTGTTCTGTTTGAATGACTAATGTAAGCTGGAAAAATATTGTTCTTAAATAGAAATTTCACGGAAAATTTCTGTCAGATATCAGTAAGTCTGTTAGTGCTTTCTCCATGGAAAATGACCTCTATTTGTTTGAGCTATTAAGTGAAAAGAATAATGAATAATTATTTTCCTCATGGCTGGGAGGGTGACTTAACACACACATTATTTTTTCTTGAATGTGCACTGTACTTTAAGTAAATTACTTTGCTTCAAAGTTTCCTGAATGAGACATAGTTCGTTTATAGTTTTTGAAGCATGATGCAGTGTCATATGTTTATTTTTTAAAAGTTATGTATTTTTTCTTTATTTTCAGGAAAAAGAAGAAGTAGAGGGGATATCAGTAGGTGCTATACTTTCTGACTATCAGCGTGTTCGAGTAGAAAATGTGTAAGAGAACACTAATTTGTCCTGTATTTTGAAATTATATGTATTTTAAGAATGTGAATAAATGAAAAATGAGTAATTTTATCCAAATAATAAGTAAATGTGATATTCTACATACCCCATGTGTCTTAGGCTGGGTTCTCTAGAGAAGCAAAACCAGTAAAGCATGTAAATATATATAGAGAGAGATTTATATCAAGGAAATAGCTCACGCAGTTGTAGTGGCTAAAACGTCCCAAGTCCACAGATCAGGGTAGAGGCCTCTCCCAGTTTACATAGCCGCAGAAGCTGGTGAACCCAAGGTTGGCAGGTCGGAGAGGGGCTCCCGCTCACAGGCTGTGAAGGTCAATGAATTCCAAGATCAGCAGACAAGACAATCAGGTTTCTCCTGATTCAGGTAGCTGCAGGGGCTGGCGAACCTAAGGTCGGCAGGTTGGGGAACTGGACTCTTGCTTGCAGGCTGAGAAGTTCGACGAATTCCGAGATCAACAGGTAAGCTGCTAGCTCAAGTCCCACGTACTGGAGGTGAGACAAGAGGCAGCTGCTGAGTCTGGAACAAGCCAAAAACCTTCGTGAGGCGAGCAGGCAGAGGGTAACCGGCGGAAGGCAGAGACGTGAAACTGAGAGGGCGGTGAGCTGCCCCAGGCCCCGCCTCCGCCAGTACCACTCAGCAGATTCCATCGTGGGGGTGATCACAACATTATACAACTGCTAAAACACTGAGAATAATGGTCTAGCCAAGTTGACATACAATCTTAACCATCACACCATGGAACCAGATTTGTATATTTACCAAAGTAACAAAAGCCTCACATTTACTTTTCTTCTGCCCTTAGATTATACATGAGAGTTTCTTAACTTACTATAACCAAAAAACCCGTTGCCGTCATGTCGATTCCGACTCATAGCGACCATACAGGACAAAGTAGAACCGCCCCACAGGGTTTCCAAGGAGTGTTGGTGGATTTGAACTGCCAGCCTTTTGGTTAGCAGCTGAGCTCTTAACCACCGTGCCACCAGGGCTCCTAACTTACTCTAAGGAAAAAAATATATTTATAATAAAAAATTGAGATAAAATTAAAAAATGTAAAAAATATTATCTTAAATATTTTCTTATTTGATTTCATATACCATATTAATGTCTTTTAATTCATCATCATTTGTACTAAAAATAAGGAGCTAATAGAAGGAAAGTACTAATATTTTAAAGGAAAAAAAAGCTTATTGAAAGAATCTCTCTTTGGTTCATAGAATTCAGGTGATGGCCAAAAATATTCATTAGTTTGAAATACTTCTATAGATAGCCATTCAGTTTTCAAAGAATTTTTAAATTGCTGTTCCACCAGCTTCTCCCCATGGGATGTAGCACTAATAAAAAATTTAGTCTGTATCTACAAATACCAAAATAGTAAATTCCATTGATCCATTCTAAAATCATAAGGACAAATGATAATAATGATTATTTAATGTTGGCTTAGAAAAACACACCTAAATTAATTCATTTTTCATTTTTAATTTATCATTGGGACAAATAAAATATATCGTATAGAGATTTTCCACATAATTATATTGGCAAAAAAGAAACTGTGGACGCCAGTGTTAATCTTGAGCACAACATGACTTAGAAATAAGCTGTCATTTTCCATTCAAAAGATACATGGAGTTGAGGCAAGTGTTGTATTTATGTAATAGTTTCGTGTTATTGGCAAAGAAGTGTTATATTAACTATGTCATTAAAAACTTATGTATTAATGGACCTGAAAATACGTTTTATTTTAATTGTATTTATTTTCTGATAAATTCCACAGTGGATTTAAGGCAGTTAAAAAAAATACAGAATATTAAATCCAATTGAAGGGAAAGTAGATTAAATTATAGTTAAGTGAAGGGGAGTATAATGATTTCACAGTTTGGGGTATATCAGAATCTCTGGAGAAGGGAAGTTGGAAGTGGGGCAGGAGATCAAGCATGTGTATTTTGTAAAACCTTTCTGTACATTGTGCCTGCTTCCATTAGAGCATAGCTGGTCTACACACAGAATGGCCTGCCTGTCCTTTAAGCTATACATTAGGCATAATATTTTTCTTAGCAAGTTTTGAATGGCAATGAATTTTAGGTTGTAGTCTCTGAAAATTATTTAGTTTACAGATCTATATTTTTGAAGAAATTCAAATCCACGTGGCTTAATGGATAGCCAAACTGGAGATAGGGCTGACATCTGTGGAAGTTAAAAAAGCAAATGGGGATGTGCTCCTGATTAGGAGGCTGTCTTATATCTGCATGGAAGAAGGCCCATGGCAAAGACATATATATAGGCAAGATTTTCCTCAAAACGCAGTCTAAGATTTGAGATCCTCACGTTTTATACCATAGACCATATCCGCAATAATTTTATCCTTGAAATATTTTAAGAGACGTGTTACTGGGAGTCAGTTAGTCTACAAACTCAGTTTCATATTAGTCTATCCCCAGTTTGTGGTTTGTGTATCATCATGATATTTTCAAAATATAAAGAGTTTAATAGACATCACAAGGTCAAATGCAGCACTGATTTACAGAGGAAGTATATTTGAGCTATGGTGTGAGGAGTTTAAATAGGTGAAAAAGTTTGACTAGAGTTTAAAATTAATTTGTCAAAAGATTATGATGATTGATGGATCTCAAAGTAAGAACTAAGGGTTTTGCAATAGGCACAGGCAGGAATAAAGTTTTATTTTTCAATTCAAAAACTTTAGTAGCTAAAAAAAGGGTAGCAAGGCTAGTGTAATTAGTAGGCATTAAACATTAGTGGGAGGACAGCAAGAACTGTGATGTATATGTCACAGGGGTAGTTTAAGTTTTATTGTCTTTATGTTCATAAACTGTCTCAACATTGCTTTAGATGATCTGGAATATACAAAGGAAAATTATATGAAACAATCTCTGCAGTGAGGAAGGTTTTATTTTTTTTGAAAGTCGGGATATATGTGCATTAAAACAATAGTGATATCTTTAGGACCATGTATGTGTAAAGGCCACTACTTTTCTGTCAGGTGGTGATACTGTAGTGGCTTACGTGTTGCTGTGATGCTGGAAGCTATACCATCAGTATTTCAAATAACAGCAGGGTCACCCATGGTGGGCAGGTTTCAGCAGAGCTTCCAGACTAAGACAGACTAGGAAAAAGGACCTGGCAATCTACTTCTGAAAAAAAATTACCCAGCAAAAACCTTTTAGATAGCAGCAGAACATTGTCCAATATAGTGCAGGAAGATGAGCCCCTCAGGTTGGAAGGCATGCAAAATATGACTGGGGAAGAGTGGCCTCCTCAAAGTAGAGTTAACCCTAATGATGTGGATAGGGTAAAGTTTCAGAAACTTCATTTGTTGATGTGGCGTGGCTCAAAATGAGAAGAAACAGCTGCAAACATCCATTAGTAATTGGAATGTGGAATGTATGAAGTATGAATCAAGGAAAATTGGAAGTTATCAAAAATGAAATGGAAGATCAATATTCTAGGCATCAGTGAGCTGAAATGGACCAGTATTGGCTATTTTGAATCAGACAGTCATATGGTTTACTATGCCAGGAGTGACAAATTGCGATGTCATAGTCTCGTCAAAAGGAACATTTCAAGATCTGCCCTGAAGTATAGCACTGTCAGTGATAGGATAATATGTATACACCTACAAGGAAAACCAGTTAATACAACTGTTATTCAAATTATGCACAAACCACTAATGCTAAAGATGAAGAAATAGAAGAATTTTATCAACTTATGCAGTCTGAAATTGATATAATGCAATCAAGATGCGTTGATAATTACTGATGATGGGAATGCAAAAGTTGGAAACAAAGAAGGATCAGTAGTTGGAAAATATGGCTTTGGTGATAGAAATGATGCCAGAGATCGTATGATAGAATTCTGCAAGACCAACAACTTATTGATTGGAAATACCTTTTATCAGCAACATAAACGGTGACTGTACACATGGACTTTACCAGATGGAATACACAGGAATAAAATCGACTGCATTTGTGGCAAGTGACAACAGAGAAGCTCGATATCATCAGTCAGAACAAGACCAGGGACTGACTGCAAAACAGATCATCAGTTGCTCATATGCAAGTTCAAGTTGAAGCTGAAGAAAATTAAAACAAGTCCACAAGAGCCCAGGTACAAACATGAGTATATCCCACCTGAATTTAGAGACCATCTCGGGAACAGACTTGATGCATTGAACACTAATAATCAAAGACCAGAGGAGCTGTGGGATAACATCAAGGACATCATACATGAAGAAAGCCAAAAGGTCATTAAAAAGAAAGGAAAGATCAAAATGAAAGTCAGAAGAGACTCGGAAACTTGCTCTTGAACTTAGAGCAGCTAAAGCAAACAGAAGAAGTGAAGTAAAAGAGCTGAACAGAATATTTCAAAGGACGACTCAAGAAGAAAAGTAAAGTATTATAGTGAAAGGTACGAAGACTTGGAGATAGAAAACCAAAAGGGAAGAACACGCTCAGCATTTCTCAAGCTGAAATAACTGAAGAAAAAATTCAAGCCTCAAGTTGCAATATTGAAGAACACAGGAAGCATCAAAAGAAGATGGAAGGAATACACAGAGTCACTGAACCAAAAAGGTCAACGTTCAGCCATTTTAGGAGGTAACATATGATCAAGAACCGATGGTACTGAAGAAAGAAGTCCAAACTGCACTGAAGACATTGGCAAAAAATGAGGCTCCAGGAATTGACAGAATACCAGTTGAGATGCTTCAACAAATGGATGCAACAGTGGAAGTACTCACTCATCTCTGCCAAGAAATTTGGAAGACAGCTACTTGGCCAACTGAGTGGAAGAGATCTATATTTGCACCTATTCCAAGGGTAGGTGATCCAACGGAAAGTGGAAATTATTGAACAATATCATTAATATCACACACAATAAAATTTTGCTGAACATAGTTCAGAAATGTTGCAGCAGTACATCTACAGGGATCTGCCAGAAATTCAAGCTGGAAGAGGGCATGGGATGAGGGCTGTCATTGCTGATGTCAGATGGATCTTGGCTGAAAGCAGAGAATACCAGAAGGATGTTTACCTGTGTTTTATTGACTGTGTAAACTATTAAACTATGTGAGTCATAACAAATTATGGATATCATTGCAAATAATGAGAATTCCAGAACACTTTATTGTGCTCATGAAGAACCTGTGCATAGACCTAGAAGCAGTTGTTCGAACAGAACAAGGGAATACTGTGTGGTTTAAAATCAGAAAAGGTGCGTGCCAGGGTTGTATCCTTTCACCATACTTATTCAATCTGTATGCTGAGCAAAATATTCGAAGAAGCTGGACTATATGAAAAAGAAGTGGCATCAGGATTGGTGGAAGACTCATTAACAACCTGTGATATGCAGATGACGCAACCTTGCTTGCTGAAAGCGAAGAGAACTTGAAGCACTTACTGGCACCCATGGAAGCAGCAATCAAGAAATCAAAGGATGTATTGCACTGGGCAAATCTGCTGACAAAGACCACTTTAAAGTATTAAAACAAAAAATGTCACTTTGAAGACTAAGGTGCACTTGACCCAAGCCATGGTATTTTCAGTTGCTGCATATCCATGTGAAAGCTGAACAATGAATAAGGAAGGATTGATGACTTTGAATTATGGTGTGGGTGAAGAATATTGAATATACCATGGATTGCCAGAAGAATGAACAAATCTGTCTTGGAGGAAGTATAGCCAGAATGCTGTATTTAATCCTCCATACTTTGGACGTGTAATAAGGAGGTACCAGTCCCTGGAGAAGGACATCATGCTTGGTAAAGTAGAGGATCAGTGAAAAAGAGCAAGACCCTCAACAAGATGGATTGACACAGTGGCTACAACAATGGGCTCAAACATAGCAACGATTGTGAGCAGGGTGCAGGACTGGGCAGCATTTTGTTCTCTGTACATAGGGTTTCTATGAATTGTAATTGACTGGACTGCAGCTACCAACAAACCATGTGTAAAAGACCAAACATGTGGTACGTTGAATAAGTATTGGGATTCTGTGAGAGAGAGAGAGAGATCAGTGTTGGCCTCAGTGGTCAACCAGGCAGTCTACTAGGGATGATGGCTTTTAGAGTCAAGTTCTTGGTTTGAAATCTGATCTTAGCCGTTTACTGTTTGCCTAGGGCAAGTCACTTGAGTTTGACTGCCATTTGTTGAATATCTATTTAATCCAAGGATTTTAGTACATTCTTTATCTATGTTACTTTTATTTGATTAATTAGTTATAGTCCTTCCTGAGAAATTGACATTTGAGGAGAGGCATGAAGCAGTGAGAAAGGTAGGGAGCATGCCTGGTACATTAGGCAAAGTGAGTAGACCAAGGGTGGCAGTGTGGAGTGAGGGGAGCGAGGAGCTGAGGTCTGAGAGAGAACAGGGCAAGATTCATGTGTATCCATTGCAAGGACTTTACCCTGGAGTCATGGGGAGCCACTGGAGGATTTTGAGCAGAGGGGATCCCATGGTCCCTTTTATGTTTTAAAAGCATCACATTGGCTACTGTATTGAAAGGGGGTTTTAAAGGGTCAGGGATGGAAGCAGGGAAAGAAGTTAGGGGGATATTGACTCCAGAGATTATGGTGGTTCAGGCCAGGGTGTTAGCAGCGGTGTTGAATAGCAGTGGGGTTCTGGATTGTGCCAGTTTGGATGTGGAGTGTGAGGGAAGGAGGATCAAAGGATGACTTCACTCTCCAACTTTTAATCTTCTCAAGAACTCTGATAGGAAGTATTTTTATTTTTGGACTAGAAAACTAAAGACAAGGACTTACCAAAGAGTTGACTTAGCAAAGCCATACAGCTAGTGAGTAGCAGAAGCAGATTTCAAGCCCAGATTTGTCTTGACTCAAAAAACCATACTGTTTCTTCTGCAACAGGAATATCAAGTGTCTAGTCAACTCCCTGCAACATAATAGGCACTCAGTAAATTGTACCTTTTGTTTTAATTATGTTCTCTTCACTCAGAGCCGTATTCTAAAAACTATTTCAAAGTTAGTAGGTAGGAATAATTCATATGATAAGTATTGTAAATTTAATAATATGTGGTTTGCTTATTAGAATAAATTTATTTGCCTATTTTGCATTTGCTTCACAAGTTTGATACCCAAGGACGTTCTAAAAATGAGAATAATCATTCGTTAGTGTTGGGAAGCTCTTTTGCATAGATTTCTAAACTTAGAATCCTACTAAAAGTGGTATTTTTAATCTGTCTGAAGATTTCATTTTTATCTGTTTATGCATAGCCTGTGGAAATTAAATATGTTTATGTTGTATATATAAACTTTATTATGCAAAACATGTTTTTTAAAGTATTTTAAATGCTGCAATCCTTGAGAGATGCAGTATGTTTAAAATAAAAGTAATTGCTGTGGAATCAAGTATAGAAAATTAAGATATCATCTGGTTTTTTCTTTTTATTTTATAGGTGTAAAAGACTTAATCTCCAGCCTCTAGCTTACCTTTGGCAGAGAAACCAGGAAGATTTGCTTCGAGAGATGATATCATCTAACATCCAAGCGGTGATCATCAAAGTAGCAGCTTTTGGTATGTAGCCAGGCTTCCAAGGGAGCTCTCTGTTACCACACACATAATCTCAGTTCACTTATAAGCAGTTATAACAAAAAAGGATGATCTAGAATATTAAAATGGAAAATTTGTGTAGAGTTACAAGCTGAAGAACTTGAGTAAGCATCATATATAAAGAAAGGGGAGTTTAAAAATGGGCCTTTGACCATTTAGGAAACGTTAATAGTGAATCTTCTGTCTTTTCTTTCTTTTTTTTTACTATATAACTGACTCTAAAACTGATATTGTATTACGGCCCTTCATTTGAAGGTCTCTTATAGGATTTGGAATTCAGGCCTATAGGAAATAGACAATAGAGGTTGACTTTTACCTATTTTGAATAATATTTCAATAAAAAGCTTGGTTCTGTTTGTGATACCAGAAAGAGAGTAAAGCGGGGTCTGGTGGGAAAATGATGTTTGAGAGAATGGCATCTGGTCAGTTATAGACACAGCAGGCAGTTGGTGATCTGATTCAAATATGGATAGCACATAGGGACAAATTTAATTTGTTTTGAATTTTTCTGATTATATTCATTTTCAAGAAATCACACAATTTGAGCCCACTACATTTATTTCATGAACCTATTACAGAAAATGCACTGTACCTAAATCATGTAACTAATTTGAGAGTGTTTATCTTCCTGATCTCTGAAATAACGAGGTCTCAAGCTGTGGAAGACTGCATAGATAAATTCACACTTTAAGCAGTATTAACAGAAAGGTGAAGAGTGTAGATCCTGTAATATTTCTCCTATTTCCTATACCGGTTGAAGCTGAGGTGTGGTCTTTAGTGGAAACCCTTATTTAGAGAACCCGCGGTTGAGCTCCTTAGCTGTTAGGAGGACTGAAGTATCCTTGTGTTCTCATTTCTGAGCAGAGGTTAGTAACTCAGGGTTGAAGTTCTCACAACATACTGTCATAGGAGTTTCTGTGTGAATCTAGAAGAGTATTCTCTCCCTGTGTCTTTGCCACTCTCACTCTCTCTTGGATTTTCGAAGATTGTGTAGTTCTGTAATGAACGTCTGTGACACATTAGTGGAAGGAACAGAGACTACACCTTTGACTGTCAGAAAATGAAATATATTAGGACCTGAGGGGCAGCTTACCTTTTTGAAAAGACAGAGCCATAGAATTTAACCTAACTGCCATGTTTATGGAGCTCTGGTGGCACAGTGGTTAAGAGCTTAGCTGCTAACCAAAAGGTCAGCAGTTTGAATCCACCAGCCGCTCCTGGAAACTCTATGGGGCAATTCTGCTCTGTCCTATAGGGTCACTATGAGTCAGAATCAACTCAAGGGCAACGGGTTTCATTTTGTTTTTTGGCCATCTTTATAATTATGCGTAGCCGATATTGCATGCCCCTTTATTTATGTGTGTGGGTTTGTGTGTGCCTCTCTGGGAGGGTTAGAGATTTTCTTCACATACATTTCTTCTACTGCACCAGAAGAAATGTATGTGCCAAGAGCTGTGATATCTGCACAACAGGCAACTGGAAGAACAGTTACAGCCCAGATCACAGGAAGATGTGATTGTGCTTCAAAAAATAGAATTAGTATCGGTTTAATGAGAGTTTTTCCTCCCATGAACTCAGTGGTTGTGACAAAGCTTCATCCAGTCACAGTGCAAACCATTCCTCAAACTACTGCAGCAACATATTCCCGGTTTGTTCCTCCTGAAAGTAGGACCTCTGCTTCCAGATCTCTCGGCACCAGATCAACTCACATATTCCTGGTCTGTTCATCCTGAAAGTAGGATCCCCGCTTGCAGATCTCTCGGCACCAGATCAGCTCTCACCCAGTCTCTCACAAGTGTTCATTCCATAAAAGTGGCTGACTAAAGTGAAAATGTTTACATTGAGGTCTTTTAGTTCCTCTGGTTTTACCAATGATTAGAAGACTTTAGTTTAAAATTTTTTCCATGTTCTTAGAACACTATAGGTATATCATGTTTTACTAGAGACTTTTTTGAAGCTGTACCATCCATTGTAACTATATGTAGAAATTATTTTAATGTTATTTTTTATTTAAGCAATTAAGTAAAAAATTTTAAATTAAAAGAGAAACTAAAAAAAAAAAAAAACTTAGCTGTATTAAACTTTTGGTAGAGTATGAAACTCAATGAGGGATGTCATTGCTGATGCTGATGGCTCCTGACTGAAAGCAGAGACTACCAGAAAGATGTTTACCTGTGTTTTACTGATTATGCAACTGTGTGGATCATAACAAATTATGGATAACATTGCAAAGAATGGAAATTCCAGGACTCTTAATGGTGCTCCTGAGGAACTTGTACTAGGAGCAAGGAACAGTCATTCGAACAGAACAAGGTGATATTGTGTGGTTTAAAATCAGGAAAGATGTACATCTGGATCATATCGTTTCACCATACTTATTCAGTCTGTATGCTGAGCAAATAATCCGGGAAGCTGGACTATATGAAGAAGAACGTGGCATCAGGTTTGGAGGAAGACTCATTAACAACCTGCAATACGCAGATGACACAACAATGTTTGCTGAAAGTGAAGAGGACTTGAAGCACTTACTGATGAAGATCAAAGACTGTAGTCTTCAGTAGGGATTACACCTCAACATAAAGAAAACAAAAATCCTCACAACTGGACCAATAAGCATGATAAACGGAGAAAATAATTGACATTGTCAAGGATTTCGTTTTGCTTGGATCTACAGTCAATGACCATGGAAGCAGCAGTCAACAAATCAAATGACGTATTGCACTTGGACAAATCTGCTGCAACAGACGCCTTTAAAGAGTTAAAAAGCCGAGATGTCACTTTGAGGACTAAGGCATGCCTGACCCAAGCCATGGTATTTTCAGTTGCCTCATAATTCATGTGAAAGCTAGATAGTGAATAAGGAAGACCGAAGAAGAATCGATGTATTTGAATTATGGCGTTGGCGAAGAATATTGAATACACCGTGGACTGCCAGAAGTACGAACAAATCTGTCTTGGAAGAAGTACAGCCAGAATGCTCCTTAGAAGGGAGGATGGTGAGACTTCCTCTTAGGTACTTTGGACATGTTATCAGGAAGGAGCATTCCTTGGAGAAGGACATGATGCTAGGTAAAGTAGAGGGTCAGCAAAAAATGGGAAGCCCCTCAACAAGATGGATTAACAGAGTGGCTGCAACAATGGTCTCAAACGCAAGAGTTGGGAAGATGGTGCAGGATCGGGCAGCGTTTTGTTCTGTTGTACATAGGGTTTCTGTGAGTCGATACCTAAGAACCACACAACAATATAAAACTGAGCTAGTTTGTCCTTAGTAACTCAATGACAAAAGTGTAGATCTGATTTTTACATTATAGTTTATGATTTCTATTGATTACCTATAGGTACACAAAGATGAAAGTAATTCTTAAGAACAGTGTTAAATAAAAGTTTATTGAGTGGCACATTCCTTATATATGATGCAGTGTAGGTCTCCAAACTGCCCCCCTACCCCCCACCCCACCCATTTAAAGTTGTCAAAAAATGATTTAAGCAAAAAACGGGGCAATAGGACCTTTCCTTGAGGGGAAGGGATTCTCTAAGTTTTGTGGCCCTGTAGACCATGGAATGGTCTTATAATAGAAAAGGTTCAGTTCTACATGGATGCATAAAAATATATTTCTGATAATAATGTTACATAACATTGGCATTTTGCAGGCATCAATGAACTCATAAAATTTTTACCTTAATGACTTAATGTTTAAAGGAATTTCCACTGGATTTTAGACTTAAAGAGCCATTGGCTCATTGGATTTTGAGAGCAATTTGATCTTTTAGAAAGATTTGTTTTTAATTGTATTAGTGTTACATTGAAACATTCTTGTTATATAATGTTCAGTCTTCATAGATAAAGACAAAATTCCATTTGTTTTCTGTCCTCCCTCCTCCCTAACCACTCACTCCCTTCCCAGAAATACACACCAAAGAAATAACTGATCATCTTTCTACATTCCTTTTTTTATTATTTATTTATATACGTACAATTAGAAATAGCATGATTGTTTTGTGGATTTTAATTATTACATGAATGATGTTTTACACTGTAGGTTGATCTGCAACTTGCTTTTTTTCATTCAACAATATATCTTGAAGGCTTTTGCCACATCAGTAAATATAGATCTGCCCGGTGTTTTGTTTTCTTTTTAAGTAACTTTTCATTGAATTATAACATAAATATAAAAAAGTACACAAATAGTAGACATACAACTTGATGAATTTCACAAAATGAACATACCTATGTAGTCAGCACTCAAGTCTGGATAGAAGGAAAAACCTATCTAATCTTCCAAATATATTAATGACAGACCTCCTGGCAAAAACAGACAAAACAAAAATACTGATGGTATTTACTAGGAGGGAACAGTTCTTATCTTTGGACTGGTTTTAGTAGGATGTATCTGGTTGCTAACTATTGCTTTTAGTAAACAAGCCTGGAACCTTTGGATTGGGAGCATGGTGCCCTGGAACATGTCACATGAGGTATGTGGCTATCTGAATATGAAATGGAGATGGTTCATGACTGAGATTGCTATCTTCTATGTAACTAATGAGAAGTACGTGCATTGCTGAGGGACCTCCCATGATAACCTGGATCAGAGCGTCTCCAGTGTGGTGAGAAGGGACCTGGAGAGCTGCACTGTTGATCCTGGACATCTCTCTGCTTCCCCTGTGTCTCTTGATTGTTTGAACCCTGAAACTGTATTAGTAAAACTTGGTACTAAGGAAATTCTCTGATTGTGTGAGTCTCATGGACCAGCCAATCTTTTGTTATTGCAGATTGGCCTAGTCAAAGGGTCTTTCAAACCCCCAGATGTAAGATATAAGGCATTTTAACACAAGAAAAAGAAGGGGGTGGAACAACATGATGAGGTCTTGGCCACTGTTAGCAGCCTTGGCAAAGGCAGGACCCTTAAAAACAATAACAGCAGATGGTAGTTGGAGAAAAAGCAGTGAGACCAGCTTTATGCATC